ATATGAATCACTCGAAACTGTAACAAACAACTTCACCAATGATGCAACGCGATTTTATTGTTCTAAACTAAAAGGACTTCATATGGACAAGCCGTTTGTTCGACGAAAACATTTTGATGACTATTTTCCTTTATTATTGTACATGTCGAAATTTTGTCAGAATCTTTTTTTTGAATAAAAGAAAGTACTTGATAAAAATGAAATATATTTGAATCAGCTAAAGTTAAATTACTAATGGACTATTATATAGTCACTTCTGTTCATTTGAACTTGATCATGAATTGTATGATGATAAATGTGTTATGATTTATGAATGTTGTTCAAATGATCGAGACATTCTTTATGTTACATTTATTGATGATGTTATTAATATGCGCTGTTCAATAAGGGGAACATCAAAATCATCATGTCGACGTATTATTAATAAAATGAATTATTGAGACAACAAATTGATCCAAAATATTTCAATACTTTATCTGATATTCAAAGTCATATAGATAGAACAAAAAAATGAAAACGGTTTGTTCAGATAATGAATTTCATGTTTATTTTTGTGATTGTGATAATAGAGAAAAAATTTCAATCATGTCAACGTAAAGTTTTAGAAAAGATTGCTCGAAAAAATAATGATGATATAATATTTTATAATCAATACGTTGAACAAATGAAACAAGATTATATCAATGATAATTTTAGTAGATTTTCTCAATATTCTTTTTCAGACTGTTAATGCTATAACCTTTTTTGTTTTCTTTTAATAGATATCTTTCATTTCAATAGTATTACAAGATGAAGTTATAAGTAAATAACAAGATTGTTCTTTTTTTTGTAAAACTAACGAATCGACCTGATTTTCACATATATATATGTATATATATATGCTAAAGGAAAACTAGGATCTATGTAGTTTTATAGATGTTTTTAATATATTTGATAATATACTAGAAAGAGTACATGAAAGAAGTTAACTGTATTTTAATTGGATTTGTATTTTTTATCTTTTTTTATACAACTTAATCCTATATCTTGCAATTTGTTTACACTGTTTTAAAATAAACATTGAAGACATATTTAATGTTCACTAGTTATCGTCTATACATTTAATGTTCTACTTGTCTATAAACACTGGATAACCGCGGAAAATCGTCAATAACCGTCGGTTTTTATTCGGTTTGTAGCACATGGGTTGTGTCGTGATGAAAACCTATCTGTTTTCTAAAATATAATAGATTCAGATTCTGACGAAACCTTATCCGATGGAAATGAAAGAACAATCAGTTCTGATGAACTTGAAAGTAGTGGTTCTGAAGGTAATGATTCATTAATTGAAGAATTCAACCAAAGTTCAATGGATTATTGGGAATGGAAAGTAGTGGCGTATCCAAGGCCTGGCATGGCCTGGCACTGCCAGGCCACCGGTACTTTTTGCCAGGCCACTGAGAAAAATTTTACTAGGTATTTTATTTTTTTTATACTATCAATGAAGTTACATAAGACTATATCTCTGATAATGAGTGACATCTGAAGAATACTATAAATAACTGAACAAGTCAATAGGCAGGGGCGTAAACGCTTAACATTTCAAGTTTTAAAAGGAGGAAGGCGCCGCACCCTTTTGCTTAAATCTATCGTAAAAAGCCGTGTAAAAACCCTTTTTTGATTTTATAGATCAAAGAAAAACTAAAATTTTCCCAGAGCAAAGAAGCGTAGTGCTCCATGCGTCGATCTCACTCACTAGACCCTTTGTTTCGCGTTAAACTAATCTTTTTTAAAACACTGAAATATTACAGACTGATTTTGAATCATCAGAAAATTATCAAGTGATACGCAGGGCTGTCGCAATGTTAAAGATTGGGGGAGGTCGAAAAATTTCGAAGATTCTTCAGAAACTTCTGCAAACTACCAAAATTTTTAAAAAAATTAGAGATTTTTTGAAAATTTCTGAAGATTTTTGTAAGTTTTTAACGATTTTCGAAAACTTTTGCAAAATTTTTATAAATTATCGAAATTCGTTCGAGGACTTCGGGAAATTTCTAACGACTTTCTCAAAAATTCATCCAGAATTTTTGGAAATTTCATAATAATTTTTAAAAAAAGATGAGCAAAAAAACAAAATTTCCAAAGATTGGGATGAATACCGCCCCCCCCCCCCCCCTCCGATCGCAACACCCCCAAGGATATGGTAGGTTTTAGAAATTTTGTAAGGCATTGCCAGGCCACCGATCAAATCCTGGCTACGCCACTAATGGAAAGTTGGCAATTCAAGTTTATGTTTGAAAAATTGTTTTTCGTTGAATCATCAAAACTATGTGTATCAACAATAAACTGAATAGATATATACTCATCTAATAACAGTTTTTTATTCTAACTTAACCAGAGATTTTGCAATAACATCTATCCACCAAGTACTCTGTTTTGTGAAAATTAAATTCGATAAAAAACAATCAGGACTCAAAGGTTAAGATTCTGAATCGATTTCCAATGATGCTGATCCAACAACAACAACTGATGACAAAGAATTAATTCCAAAATGGTTCGAACGTGCATCATCAATGATAGTTGAAACAAAACCAGTTGAATTATAAGAATCATTTGAAATGATTTATTTCAATCAACATCAATATCAAAATATCTTGAAAGTCGATTTTTACTTTGGAATAATATTGGTGCAATAACATGTTATAGTGAACAAACACAAATATCATTTCATGATGTATCATATCATCATTCAATAACAATTGATAATAATACATCATGTTTACAGTCCTCGAATGTTTTCATAAAAATGACGCCTGTTTCACGTTCATAATCAGCTGTAAATTCGTGGTCCGTTTCGCTTGTATCTGTTGTTTTTATATCATTTAATTTTGTAAATCGACTGAACCTATTTACACCCACACCCTCAAGTTTTTTATTCATACTTTTCTAATACACTATCGACGGTATTGAGTTGTCTTTCATATGTCCGCATCTCGAATTTATATTGTTTTATTCTTTTTTTGCTTTCTCTTCTTTCTTTGTCAATGGAGCCGCTACTATTTGTTAATCGCCATTTGAGTTTGTATTGTAATTGTTTCACTTGAGGAATCTACATGTTAAAAAAATATGTAAGGAATATTCTGAAATTTTTTTACCCAGGTCGATGATTCCAAGCGCCCTTTCCGGCATCGCATAAGGCAGAAAACGGCTAAAGTCCTGCAAGAAACGGCCGTGCACGAATGTCGTTAAACACCGTAATCCATACACTCAGATCTGTACTGAGGCTGTTTACGACACCGTATTCTTTCATCTGGGCAGTTTCAGCTGTTATTTGACTAGCACGATTTGAAATTGATTGAGAATCTTAAGTGGAAAAAAAAATAAATTTCTTTTAATTTAAAAATAATTTAAAAACAAAATGAACAAACCTTCCATCTTCAGGATAATAAATATCTGCATTTGGAATTATAATTATACTAGAAAATAGAAAAACAATTTACTTATATAGTAATTCTTCAGATATCTATATAGAATAATATATATTTAACAATGGAATAGTATATGTTTA